TCTATCCGCTCTACCTACAGTCTATATTTTTAACCACTTGATAATCCAGCCTGGATCCAGACCCAGTCGAGCTGAGAATCAATTATAAAACAAAGTAATCTCTAACCACACGCATGCCATTTAATTTCTATGTTCCAGTTTAAAATTTAATCTCGCAATTTAGGAAATAGTTAATTCCAGCCTTGTGTCACAGTGTGCAGCCCTGACAGTATTAGAGGATCAGTTAGTTTCATCCATCGTTTGCACTGTGATTTGGTTCAAATGAAAGATTACTAGAGCGAGAAAGATGAAGGCAGTTTCCATTGGACACACGAGCGTCTCTCCTTGGTCCATAATCCGTTTAGTTTCTGTCTGCTGTCAAGTTGCCTAACAGGTTTCTAAAATGACGAGTTTGTTTTCAAAATAAAAGCACAATAATTGCAAACTTGTCAACTAGATTCGAAAATTTCATAGAAAATATTCGTTAACAAACAGATGTCATTAGTGGATTTAACAAAAACATATATCACTGTAGCAAACACTGTAACAGAGTTATAATTTATGTGGGATTTTGCAAGGTGAGAATTTAGGTAAATTATACGAGTTTCAGAGTAGCAGGGATACTACAGTTAGGTTAGTCCCAGTCACTTTGTGCATAACCCAGGACGCCCTTGTAAAAGAGGTTTTTATTCTCGGTGGGTCTTTCCTGGTTAAATAAAGGTTAAATAAAATAACACAACATGCAAAAGACATAATACAAGGGTATCGCTTAACTGAGAAATTGTGTGCGTGTGTGTGTGTGTATTTATTAATGTAAAAGATTGACTTATTACCAATATAAAAATACCTCAGTCAATTCTTAATTTTGGGAAGAGCAGCTTCAACTGAACTTGAGTGAATAAACTCATTTTGCACTCGATAACCACAAGACACAAGCTGCTAAGGATGTGAGTGGAGCATTATTTGAAGCTATAAGACTTATTTTATAATGTATTATAAATATAATAACAAGTAATTGTAACGATTTTTTAGTATAAACCATTTATAACCGACGATTCATCAGCTCATCTATACAGTAAGCATGTTTTATCACTATCAATAATACCTTTATTTATGCCATAGGGAGACAAGGAGAGAACAGCAGACTAAAGTTGTCCCTCAGTATCTATGTATGTCTCGAAGCCATTTTAAAGTTTTACAGTGTGATGTACTTGTATTTCTTATATTTTTCTGCTGCACTTGTGAATTTATACATTTGTAAATATTGAGCAAGATTTCTAAACTTTTGTTGACTTGACAAAATAGGAAGTCAAAGTTATGATTGAATTGATTTATTTAGTCTAATGTGCTAAGTGGCCATGATGCTGTATTGAAGGAGCCTTCAAACCAGTGCTTGAGATCATAAACTCATGACACAGGTGTTTACTAAGGTAACATTTTGAGGGAGAAGCACGGTCACTTTTGCATAGACTTCACTACAATCACAATTAAAATATATCCTAAGAATCTATTCACACTGGTGCCTAAGGTGACAGACAAATGACTTTTATTTTGAAAGCCTCAGCAGGTTTCGGCGTGCTGTGCAGTGTTTGGACGCAGAGCGCCATGTATGACGTCACTGGGGACGCTCTCCTGAACATAAAGCGGAGGAGCCGCGTCCAGTCGCGCGCCGCACCATGCTGGGCCACAGGAGGAAAGCCGCCTCGCAGGGGAAGGATGGAGCCGGGACGTCCGAGTCGAAGGCCATCGACCCGCTGAGGAACCTGGGTGAGTGTCTGTGTCCCAGCTGCTGCGCTCCGAGCTCTGAGAACTAAATGAAGGGGGACCGTTATCCTCCTCAGTCTTAGCAGGGTCTGGATGTCGTCCTCAGGGCACAATGAGGTTCCTCCACACTGCTTTATATTTATACTTCCCTACACTAACCTGGCAGGTGTTGTCACTTCACCAGCCACAGAGTAAGAAAAGCAGGTCAGCTGTAGATGAAACAGCCCAATCATATTTGAAACTGGAGCAGAAATTATTTTTGACTAGTCAGTGAAAAATATTGTAGTAGCTGAACAATTGTTTTAGTAATTTTATTGCAAAAATGTTACAGTTATGCCTGTTGAAAACGGAGGATTTGCTGCTTTTACCTACAGTCTTAAGCCCTTCTTAGACGCGGGGTAGAATCTCTGCTGCTTCCTCAGGCTGCTTCAGCGACAGCACTCTGTCACTCACACAATGGTCATTTTTCCATTGATTTTCCTCACAGCTTCATTCAGAAAAAAACTCACATGATATTTGCCATACAAATATTAAACAGAACACCCAGTGATATGTAATACACAGTAACGCACTAGATCCAAACCAAAAGCATCTAATCAAACGGTCCAAATGACTAAAGCCTTGTTTACTTATGATTCCTAAACTACATAATCTAAGTGCTACTTTACCAACAGTAAGGCATGCATGCACACTGTGTCTTTTGCTCTCGTGGTGCTGTGATGTTTTTGGACCAGTGTTGGTACTGAAATGTGGACAAAGTCTTGCCTAAATCACTTCACCCAGCTCAGAGTGCAGTCACTTGCACGTCTGTGTGATGATGTAGCTGAGATTGTGTTGAAGGTGATACATCAGTGTTCCTCCAGGTGAGGTGGCCGTCATGACTTTTACAGAAAGGTGAGCAGGATGCTCATTCAGACATGACGCTGACACATTCAAATGCCACCAGATTAATGGAAAGGAGGGCATGTCTGAAAGGGGCTTTAAACTCTAATAAATGGAACAATGTTGGGTAAAACTAACAATTTGAAGGTGCCCCTTTGGGCTCTTGGTAACTGTGACAGCATTTGGCCTTCTTTTTTTGGCAAAGTGATTAATTCATGAAGACAATACTCACCTGTTCAATCACTAATGAAAGAGTGGTTAGATGAAATGCTGTTGTACAATCAGTTGAAGTTAGCTGTACGTGTAAACTGCTGCAGACCTGTCCAGCCTCAGCAGTAACGCCCTGACAAGCAGCCTGACGGGTGTTTCTCTGCACTGAACTGCCACTTTTTTCACATTTATACACTGAGGACTTTGGGTTAGTATAATAGCTGCAGTGTTTTCTCTGTGTTCAATATAACAGTTTTTCTGCCTCAAGCTTCAATCCTTTACTCTTCTCTACTCCCCTTGTAAATCAAGTTTCCATCTTCAGCGAGTCACAGAGCTCTTTCTCTTTGACTCCAACAATAAGAAAAGAATCAAAACTACTCAACACATGCTAAAAACTGGTTGTCTATCAGCAGGAACATCTTCATTATCGTTGACAACAAACTTCATTTGATTACGAGGCATTGTTCAACCTTTCTCCTTCCACTGCTGAAACAGTTCTAAAGTTAGGTGCTTCCTATCTGAAAAAAGTTTGGAAATTGTTATCCATTCCAGTTTGTGTATTACTAATTAGCCAGTTCAGCCAAAACCAACTCAACCTAATGAACGAATCCATGTAATGGAAGTTTTGGCTTCCTGACTGTGGTTTGTTACCTTTATGTTTTGGAATTGATTTTCAAATTTGAATGATTGCCTTTAAGGCACACCATGCCCTTGATTACATTTCTGACTTTTAATCCCTTACGAGCCTGAATGCAGACGGAGATCCTCTGGCTGAGGTCTGCTAAGCCCCTTTCAGACATTTCCTCTTTTCTGTTAATCTGACAGTAACTGAATGTATCCACTTTATGACTGAATAATCATCCTGATCACTTCTCCGTAATAGTTGCAACAGCGATCTTACAAGGTCTACTTGTAGTTTTGTATGGTAACTGTTGTCAGCTAATCATGACAATGAGAAGTGGTTCGTAGCCACTCAGTATGCTGGTGCACAGAACAACCAAGTGACCCAATAAATGTTGACAGTGGTGAAGTGTTAACATTGGCTGCTATGATTGCTCTCCAGAGTCTGGCTTATGTCTGCAGAAACATTACCAACACAAGCAGCAGCACTGAGACCGTAAATATCAGAGGAAGTGTGTTCATGCTCTGACACAGTTTTTACTCTGATATGTAGAGTAGAGCACCACCATGATGAGAAGTAATAAAAGATCCAATTCTCGGTAATGGGCTGACTTCTGTTGCATTAGGATCCTACTGTGGATCCTGTAATATGAATACAGTACTATGTTTATGTGTGTGTGTGTGTGTGTGTGTGTGTGTGGTGACCCAGCCCTTACCAAGCTACAGTGAGCCTCCTGTTTCAGAGTTCGACTTACTCAGCTTGGACTCTGGGAAGGAGAGTTTAAAGGCAACGTCCAAAGAGTTTAAAAGATTCCTTTGCATGGTCGACACGGTCTAATTTATTACCTATTTTCTCTCATATGGTTACATACAGCTGTTTGATTAGAAAGCCCCTGAGTGCCCTCATAAAAAATCTGAGATAACTTGACTTTCACACATTCTATTGGTCGTTGATTAGATGGTGTGGGGCTCTTTTCCATGACAGAAACCTAGCAACCTGTGATTTGCTTTTCTTTTCACAGCCCTCTGAGTGTTTGTAGAGTATTTGTTACATATGATTGCGATCAAGCTGCTCTCAAGCATGTCTTGCCAAACTGATGAGTCATCACATCTTCACTACAGCAGAGCCCTCAGCATGGTGACAACCTGTCAACAAGGACTTTTTAAAACTTCCTTCAATGAAGAACAATAAAGAGGACATTTTGGACACAAATGATAAAATTGATAATGTCTCTCCCAAAAACTGCCTTTAGGTTATTTTTTGGTCACATGGGGGCAACACAATAAAAAGTAATTTAAAAAACACTGACATGTTATCACTTTATAAGTTTGCTATATGATGAAGGTCATATCCAACAGAGCAACTTTTCGGGTCTTGGTGTGTTGTGTTGGTGTCCAGTATTCACACTCCTTCAGCTCTGCCAACTCCTGGGGAGAACATCTTTCTCTTTAGCTGTGTGCATCAGCTCCCTTGTGTTCACTATTAGGGATGCAACAATACCAGAAATTTGTCAGCGGGTACCAATACCGCTGAAATTCTACAATTCTTGATACCAGCTTTGATATCACAACAAAACATAAACAGTGAAATGACTGTATGAGTGCAAGTATCACACAAAATAGACATTTTGAAGCCAACATTGTACAAATACCATCCATCCATCCATTATCTATACACTGCTTAATCCTCACTAGGGTCGTGGAGGGGCTGGAGTCTATCCCAGCTGGCTTAGGGCGAAGGCAGGGTACACCCTGGACAGGTCACCAGTCTATCACAGGGCTACACTTAGAGACAGACAACCAAGCACACTTACATTCACACCTACGGACAATTTAGAATCACCAATTAGCCTCAACATGTTTTTGGACTGTGTGGGAGGAAGCCGGAGAACCTGGAGAGAACATGCAAACTCCACGCATAAAGATCTCGGGTGTCCTCACTGGGACGCGAACTGGCAACCTTCTTGCTGCGAGGCAACGGTGCTAACCACCGATCCACCTTGCAGCCCTGTACAAATACCAACTCATGAAATTCAACCACTGACTGTAATATTGCAGCCTGTGGAAAGTATGAAAGAATGGCTATTTTCAAAATATTGAATGACGAATTTTACATTGTGTCTTTATTAGTTGTTCTCTGTGTATGGGTAGTCTGTCCCATCAGCTGTCAGGTTGTCTGTATTTCTTGGCTGTTCACCTCCCCTGTTTGATCGAAAGCTTTACTTTCTTTTGCATCAGTTTGTTCTTTCAGTTTATTTTGTTGGACTTCTGTCTGGATGCTTGTTTAACCTGGATCTGTAGCTGCTTTTTGTTTGTTGTTCTGCTAGCCTTTAAGTCTAAATTTGCTTTTTGTTTAATACATCTACCTGCCTGCAGTGTGCGTCTACATTTAGGGCCACCTTCTGAAGTAAAACACAACATTGTCTAAGCCTTGCAATGAAATCTTTTTCACAAGATCACATTTTTAGTGTATTTACTCCCATCATTTCATAATCCAATTCAGTTTACATGACATTATATCTGTCTTTGTTCAATCATCTGTTTGCTTTCTAGGAGTGCAGGATGATGAAGATGTGAAGCAGATGCTGCAGGGCTCAAGTATGGTGAAGGTATTACTGATTACAAACTACAAGCAACTGTTAGTAGTAGCTGGCCAAAACAATACATGCAGTTTATTTTAATGGATTAATATCTCATGTGTGAAGGTACGCTCACCTCGCTGGCAGAAGCGACGAACTCTAAAGCTGCTGGAAGATGGTGTCACTGTCTGGTGTCAGTCGCACAAAACATCCAGTCGGGCCAAGGAGCAACAGTCCTGTAAGTCGTTGGGTTTTATTGCACCATCAACATTTTTTAGCTCATTGTGTTCCGCTGTATATTGGTGTGTGTTCCTGTCACAACCACATCTGGCATCACATAACAACAAGCAAATTCATTTGGATTGAATTTGATAAAGCAGGATTACATGTTATGAGTGGTAGAGTGAAAAGGAAGTGTTGCTTTCTGAGGCTTTGTACACATTCATACACATTTTTTTCTCGATTTGATTTTTTCCCTCTCTGTTTTTACAAATAAATTATGTCCACGCCATAGACTGTACATAAACTATGGACATAGCCTCTGGGTCTGGAAAGTGAAACCAACACAGGAGAGCCAGCAGGGGGTGACTCTTCTGGTCATAGAGAGAAGTCTGATTGCATAGAAGTCTATAAGAAAAAGACCCTACTTCTCACTTGGTCTTCATCTCAGTAAATATTTTCCTAATAAATTAATTTTCTCAATATCTTGCTTCAAGTCTCCTCCAGTAGACAGACTTGCTTTAGATTAAACTTTTGTGTGATCAACCTTGGACTATACTACATCCCAAGTTTGTTCAATAGGATTCAAATCCAGACTTTGACTGGGCCAGTTCATCAGTTCCAGAACTCCAGATTCATTTTCCTTGGTCAGATAGTCTCTGCACAGCTGTGAAGTATGTCTCACTGTCTTGTTGGTATATGAACCCATGATTCAGTCCAGAAGGGATTCCATGATGCACTGAGGTGTTGTGGTAGACGTTCGTGTTCATGATGGAATCTCCACTGTGTTTCACTGTGGGTGCAATGCATCTGTCATCAAAATGTTCTCCACCTTTTCTGAGGACACAAACACGACAATGCTGACCGAAGAGTTCAAACTTGGACCCAGAGGACCTTCTTCCAGTCATCAACAGTCAAGCGTTTGTGCTTGCTGGCAAATCTGAGGCGTTTTTGAATGTTTGCAGGCCTCAATAAAGGCTTCTTAGCAGCTCTTCTTCCCTTTAAGCCATCAGTTGTCTCTTATGGTCATTCTGGAGACTTTCTCAGACTGTGATCTCGAAGCATTTATCTGCTTCAGTTAACGTTGTTTTCCTGCCTCTTCCTTGGAGCGTTTTCTAAGAACCAGTCTTGTTATTTGAATCCAAATCATACTTGACCACACTGTGAGAGCACTTTATGTCTTTCCCTGTTTGTCTCAGGGACCATCCAGCATCATGAAGTGCTTTAATGCCGCTCAGCTCTCCATGTTTTACCATTCTGAACAGGAATGAGGAATTTCAAACTGAATTCATCTTTTTATACCCAAATCTGAGCCACTGGGCTTCTCTGAGAAGACAGATATGAATCAAACAGAACATTCAACTACTAAAACTATTTTTTCTGTTCAGAAATGAAAGTAAATAACTTTATTTTGACATCTTAATCAAGAAATAATAATGTGCTTTACTGTTTTTTCAGTTTTATTTATTTGTTATTTTTTGTAAAACAGTAAATTTGAAAATTCATGGATAACAATAATAATTATATTTTAGCATTAAAATATCATTTGGTTAAAGAGCTTCTACATACTGGTGTATTAACCATTACAGAAACATACGGAATGATTTTGGTAATTACCAGTGCTGTTAATTTAGAGCAGCTGTGGCATACACCTGACAATGAGTGGTGGTCAAACATATTTGTGAAGCAACACTATATGTGCCACTGTCATTGTGTCAGGCTCTATGCTCCTACTTAAAGCAACAATAGACATGCATGAATTTGAGGTGTGACATCATTGCTTCTCAAATGTTAGTTTTTGGACACAACCTGGTGTTTTTAAAGCTCTGCAGTTTAGATCACAGTTTTAATGACCTAAACACCATTGCATGCAAATGAGAGAACCAAATATATTATTTGGCAAAATATCCATAGCCGTTTGGACAAGACCTAAGTCACTCACTTATGAAGTGGAAGCTAAACAGTCTTTTCGTTAAAGTGAAGAGGTACTGTTACATTTTTTTGGTAGATGTAGAAATAAGATTAGAAAGTGTAAGAAAGCAAAACTTACAACATGCTTCAAACTCTTTGCTATCTAAAACCAGATAAATGTTGAGTCAAACTAAGTTGAAAAGAATCACATGAACGAGTGACTCACTATTGACTCTAGAATCACATTTAATAAAGAGGCGGCTGAGTCTTAGTCTGGTTAAAATGGGTGTAGCATTGGTTGTGCTTCAATTCTGTCCTATCAGATTTGGAAGAGTTCCAGTTAAGCATTTTTATTATAGGTTCAGTAACACCAGTGGCACCGACTCATAGCTATTAGGATGGTATTTACTGCTTTTCTCTACTTGTGTCTATTTTCATGTTTACATTCTGGTGAAACACCAGTAGCATTTTTGACTGAAGACTGTCTGAAAATGTTCAATATTATCCCCATTTGCACTCTGAATGACAGAAAGCTTTTGGATTATGGCCGATCAGAAGACCACAGCCTTTAGATACAATGACACACTGACCTGAGGCAATAGCGTGAGCCACTACCGAAAAGGGTTAGAGTGAGAAGAATTGATATGCAGTCTGTTGAAGCGTGGAAGCCTTCTAGAACAAGCACTTTCAAGTTTCCGTCTGGTTTAAAAATAATGTCATCTTTAAAAAATGAACAGATCTAAGCTTAAAAGTGTGTGATATTTCTTGTTAAAAATCACCAAAATAAAATGTTTACAGCAGGTCCTGTAAACAATTTATCAAATTACCCCGCGCTGCTCGACACCACTGAGAAGCCATACCTGATTCAGCTGCAAATAATATGACAAAAAATTCAGAACCTAGTCAGCTGAACAACAGGTAAGAGGAGACACGTGTGTGAACAAACTAGAGCGACTGAGAGCAAAATCAAACACACTGGATCGATACAGTAAATGCAGCATGACTCAAAAGTAAAATACAGAGGGGCATGTTGTCTGGAAGTTCTTGGAAGATGCATTGAGCATGGTGAAACATCTTTGGTGGAGTGGTGGAAAAAAGGCAGAGATTGTAGAGGTTGTAAAAAGTGACTAGTAAAAAAATCTGTAGCATGTAGAGACACCTTTTTTTGAGCATCAGCAACACCTTTGGACACTAGGAAAAATGTTGTGTATGTTGATTCCATTTTTTTTGTAAAATCAAAGAAATTCAGCTGTTTCTTTTTCTTTCTTTCTTTCTTTTTTTAATAATATATGGAATTGCAACCGCGTCATACTATAGAAGGACACTCCTGAGTTATCTTGCCTTCTAGCCATAGTTGTTTCCATAGAGGTGCAGGACTTGAGAGACTTAAGTTCATGGGGTTAAACGTTTAAAATAATCCTTCAAGGAGCCCCACCCAGAGGTTAAGAACCATTTCTGTATGATAATTGCTAACAAGAAGCCTTTCCTTCTCCAGTTTCCGAAGAGCTCACTGCTGACTGGGCATGTAAGGTAAAACATGGCTACACTGTACCTATTTTTGTTCAGTTTAAGTGCTACTTGCTACTCTCTCCCTCTCCTCCACTATCTGATGGTCACACACGACGCTGTGATTATAGAGCTCTTCTATTTTCAGCATGAGATGGCAACCAGTCGTGCTGTAGTTCAAACAGTGAGATTATAGGACATCAGAAGGTGGAGGGAGTCGGCCCTGGAGCCTTTGGTTTGCTGCTATATAGTTACCATATGGGTTAACCACAATGTTAGCATCCCAAATGCAGTATAAGGCCTTTAATTGCCACAAGACTAGATTTGCCTGTGATGTGGCACTTGTTTATGTGTGCAGGTTTGTGTGTGTTGTATAATAACTGGGTGTGTGTCTTGCATCTCTTGCCTTCATGACACTGTAAATCATTACAGCTATGTGTCCCCTCTTTATTAGTGAACCTCTAACATGTAAATAAGAATCTCATTTCTTCTTAGCCAGACAGACACTTGTAGCTGAAGTGAATTTCACATTTGTGGCTGAAACCTGGCTGTCCCACACTCATCCCTGCCTGCTTCTGAAAACATGTAGGTAGATGTAACTGGACTTCATGTGTCCATACAAGACCTTGGAATCTTGTCATCTAAACCCAGTAATTTATCCAACCAGTTTTAGATCAAATGGGTTCACTGTAACTTGACTGGGTGGTCTAGCAGAACTGTCTGGCCTGTGACCCTGAAGTAAGATTTCTTCTCATAATTACTTTTTCATTACTCTCCACACCAACTCTAGCAAAAATATTTCACCATGCTGAATGTATCACGGCTAATGTCATTCTAACTGTGTCGAAATGCACAGATGACATTTCTGAGTTCTCTCTGCCTCTTGCCATGGATGTACTGTTTCCATAGAGGTGCAGGACTTTCTATTGCAGTGAAGAATGTGCCCACTGTGAGCAAAAATGTGACAAGAGCAAGAAAAGAAAATATCTAGAAACTGCCGGGGGTTCACAGGGTTAGCTTAAATGTTTAAATCCGTGTAGCAGACAAGTTATTATGATGGCAATAGTTACTACACTTGGTAGCATAACAAAAAATATCAAAACAGACTATTTGCATTGTTATACACCTCTGCATTTCGATTTATTTTCATGTTCTATTTGAGTGTCTTAAAACCCTGTTTGGAGAGACTTTAGTAAGAAAATCAAAGGAAAATGTTAAAAGTCAGCTTGAATGGTCACAGGTCATAATTCCATACCAAAGTGTGTTGAATGCATTAGCCAACAGTGAAATACCAGCATTTAACAGTCTACTCAAGTTAGGGTGAAGGACTTCTTGTTCTTAACCACTGCAGAATTATTTTTTAATTTACTGAACATGTTGTACAGGGAAGCAAAATTAGTTTTATGTGCACAGGAGTGACTAGCCTCTCAAAGCACTGAGAGAGGACATGATACATAGAATGAGCATTTTTCACTTTCATTAAGTAAGGCCAAACTGTCATTTTTGACATGTACTCCTTATATGCGTGATAAGGTTCATTTTGTCTACTCTGATTATAGGTACACAGTTCCTTTTTTTTTTTATCAGACAATGAATATTTTTAAGTAGGAGCTGTTTTTTACCTTTTACATGTTTCTTTGATCTTTGCTTTGTCCCAGTCCATGATGTGGTTGTTTCTTTTACAGTGGTCTGATACAGCTGATTTTAGGATTTTAGGTACCTAAAATCAGCCGTATCAAACCACTGTAAAAGAAACAACCATACCATGGACTGGGATAACACAAAGATCATCGCATCAGAGAGCAACAAATTTAAACGCTGGCTCAAGGAGGCCATAGAAATCAGGAGGCGAGCCAAAGACACCATGAACAGGATGAGGGGGCATTAATGCTGTCCCACACATGGGACGCTCTCCTACAGAGACCACCGGGTGGCAGGAGGCGTGGCCCGTTGGGCAAATCTGACAGATTGCCAGGCAGGTCAGGCCTCCAGTAAACCACCAGCTGATAAAAACACGTCACCACAGACGTCAGTGATGTTTCTTAGGAAGACTGAAATGACAGTTTAAACATGTAAAAGGTAAAAAAAAAAAACACCTCCTACTTAAAAATACTCATTGTCTGATTAAAAAAGAAGAAACCATATACCTGTACTCCTTATTGTTGTCATCTAAGAAAATCGCAGCAGTGGAAAGTAACTACGTACATTCACTCAAGTGCTGTACTTGGGCACAATTTTGAGATCTTTGTAGTATAGCAGAGAATTCTTATTTTCTGTTCTGCTTTGCTACATTTCAGAGGGAGATGCTAAACTTCCACTCTACTGTTATACTTCTCTGTATTTATTGAACAGATAAGGTCAATCAAGTAATAAGATCTTCATATATAAATAAAATAAAATTAAATTAAATTGAATAATGCTACTCTTTCTTTAAAGATTCAAATTTTGCATTAAAAAACATGATTCAGTTTGTTAATTGTATTGTTGAAAGGTCCCAAACATTTTGATTTGTTTTCCTTCATAGTAAATCAGTGTCTCTTTGAGGTTCTCTGTCATGTTTCAGATGTCTGTTTGCAGTTCCTGTTCTCCTGTAAACATCTAATTTACATTTTTATACTGAAACTTTTACTTCAGTAAAGATCTGATATATTGTAGAAAGAATTCCCCACTGCTTGTAAGGTTAACTCACAGTGTGCACCGAACTCTGTCAGGTTGTGATCTCACAGGACTCCTGGAACTGTATGTAGTGTCTAGTGAAGCCACAGGTAAGAATAGATGAGCAAACAGGAGCTGCTGTTTGGTCAGCACCAATGTTTAATTTGTTTTATTCATATCTGGCAGACAGTGTGCTGGGATTGACAAAGTGTACATATGGTCACATTCATCGGGAAATTCACACCAGTGTGTGTTGGATGAACAAACAGCTCTGTTTGGAAGGGAAACACTTGACTTGTGTATGTGTTTGTACAACTGACACTGTCTCCACACATACATAATATCCTGCAGAGCCCCAGTACAAGCTGCTGTCCACATACACCCAAACCAAACATGTCATTGACCAAGACACATACCCTGTAAACCTTGTTTTCACAAACTCCGAACTTAAATCCAAATTTGCCAGTAAATATGGTACACTGAAGTAAAAGTGGTACTAGCTGAAATAGTGGGAGTGTGACAAATATTTGCTGTACAGAAATCCAGAAAACATGGAAAGTCTCTGTATTAAAGGGCAGAATTATTTAAAGAGGTAAGTGATGAATACAGGCAATATATATTTAGTCTTTTCCTTGTTTGCAGTGTGTGTGCGTGTGTGTGTATGTGTGTGTGTGTGTGTGCGTGTGTGTGTGTGTTGATACAAATCAGTTATTTGAGAGCTCATGAGTGTGTTTAGTGATTCAAAATGAAACCACCTTAAATACACACTTCACAGAGAGTGAGTTGTTGTTTTGAGCTATGCATATGCATTATTTATTATTCATTGATTTTGTTACACTCAAAACATGCAACTGGCAACACTTTTTAATCCTAATTTTACTGTTTACTGGTATGCAGTAAGACACCAAGTTAAGTTCCTTGTATGTGAAAACCTACTTGGCATTAAAACCTTTCTGCTATAGAGCAAAGGGGCTATCAGTGTATGGTTGTGTTATATTATACTAGTACAGCTCAAATACTGTTAGAGATGGAAACAGTAAGCAGACTGTAAATGTGAATAACAAAATGTGAGCTTGAATGTCTTAGTGCCTTTACAAGATGTCAAATTTCTCCATTGTGGTAATACAAGACAGGTTAACACTAAACAATAAACTAAACTAAACCACTGAATACCTGTTAGTGACTGCTAGTTTTCCCATTGAAAGCAATACACTTTTGAAATAACAAAGCAGTGGAACGCTCCACTTGGAGTCAACATCACCTTCTAAAAGGATGGAAAACTAATCAGGCAGCACTTGTTTTTTTATTTTCACTCATCCCTTGTGCCTCTTTTCCCTTCATCCCTCAGTCTCCATCATGGAGGTGGAGTGCGTTCGAGAGGGTTGCCAGTCAGAGATGTTGCGGCAGATGGTTGGCTCAGTACCTGAGGGCCGGTGTTTAACAGTGGTCTTCAAAGGGCCCCGCAAGAGCCTGGATCTCCTCTGCCAGAGCCAGGAGGAAGCTCAGCACTGGGCTCGCGGCATCCGAACCCTGCAGGAGAGGGTGCAGAACATGACACAGAAGGAGAAACTTGACCAATATCCTTAAACCGTGTTGTGTGACTACATGATTGTTCATTCATCAAAGAGACCCAAACTAGAGGGCCAATAATGTAACAAGCCACCAATGAAAATGCCAAGTCCTTAAGTTGGGGGCAGCTGGACTCAGTTCTGACAAAACGGCTTCTGCAAATTGAGAAAGCCTCCTGATTGAAAGACAAAACATCTTCATGAACCAAAACACAGTCCAGTTGCTTTCTGCTGCAGCACGTAGGATTACTGTGACTTGGAAGACTGACAATCTAGACAGACAACCACTGAAAAACGTGTTGTACTTTTGCTATCTTCCACTTTATGGATTTAAGGAATTTAAAAAAAAAGAAAGGCTGAACTCTAGCACAAATCTATTGGCAGAATTATTATATCCAGATTATTATAGGTAAATATTAGTTGTGCGCTCAACGCTTTGTATTCGTCAAACTACAAACCTACTGTTTCATTTTGTCCTCTTGCTGCTGCCTTGACCATGTTTGTGTGCCACTTGGATTCATGCTTACCTGAGTCGGGCCGACCAGAACCACGATGACAAAATGAGCTACGATGAGGTGCAGAAGCTGCTGCAGATGATCAATATTGACTTGAGTGACCAATATGCCCGCAGTCTCTTCCAGGTAGCCTGACACACACTTACTCCAGGGTATAGTAATTAGAAGTAATTTATTTGACTTGTACTTCATTTGCTTGACTAATAACAGATTTCAGTTAACTGTTGGGCTGACAATTAGGACCATTTTGAAACAAGATAATTACTCCTAAACGATTGATGATCTGTGTCTCACTGACAGAAATGTGATCGGTCAGCTGATGGTCGTCTGGACCATGGAGAGATTGAAGTTTTCTGCAGAGAACTGTTACGGAGACCAGAACTAGATGCTGTATTTATCCGCTACTCTGCAAATGGCTGTGTACTTTCCACTGTGGACCTGAGGGATTTCTTAAAGGACCAGGGGGAGGATTCTTCATTCATCCATGCTCAAAGTCTCATCCTCACCTATGAACTGAACGAGTGGGGTACGGTTGCAAGTAACAATACATTACAGAGGAGTTATTGGAGGGTTTAGAATAGTAATTCTGAAGAGCCCAGCACCAAACAGGACACAGACAAAGTTGGCAAACTACCAGCAGATTTCTGAGGAGTTGGTAAAAAAGTAAAATGAATCCCAAGTCACCAGACATCTCTTTTTGGTGCTTGAAGCTGTCTCAACTCTCTTCCAGGAGATTTGTCTAGTTTTAACTGACTGATGGGGATTTCCAGGTATTTATTCTCACCCCAAAATGACATGGCGCATGGCCCGTTGACAGCCCAAACTCACTCAGCCTCAAGGTGGTAATGGTTCTGACACTGCCTGGGATGAGTTTCAGGACTGTTATAAGTACCTGATAACTGTGGCTGTAGTTACTACTAAGAAATTACCAGTTTTTTGGCATTTTAAATCAAAATCAAAAATGACAGCCGTTTGTCTTGCATCTGTATAGCCATTGGAAGACAGCTACAATTATTTAGCTGTATTAAACGGGCTGCTCTATAAGTACTAGCACCAGTTTGCTATATTTAAAATATCTCTTGTCTTTCATTGATATTTGTCCATGCCTTTTGCCCAGTACAGCCCAGAAGAACCATTTCATGACCCCCAATGGTTTCACCATGTACATGCTTTCGAAGGAGAACTGTGTGTTAAACCCGGAGCATGCTAGAGTTTACCAAGACATGAAACATCCACTGGCACACTACTTCATCTCCTCATCCCACAACACCTACCTCACTAAGGACCAGCTGACTGGGGATAGCAGCACAGAGCCATACATACGGTAAGAAAGGAAATGTGTGCAAATGGTATGCACCTATCTGTACCTAAGCATTTTGTAAAGCCACTCTCTTGATCACTCAGTCACATCATCATTATTTCGCACCATTAGTGACAAATGCAATACATCATTGTAAGACACTAAATTATTGGTTTGGTTGGCCTTTGTCAAAGGCCATTAAATCCTGTTGTGAAAATCTAAGAACCTTTTAGAGCCCAGGGTTTCCTGAGCAGCAAACAAATATTTGAAAGCCAGAAAAGCTGCAGCTTCTTTAGTTGCCCAATCAAAAACTGGTGTAAGAGTTCAGAGCAGTAGAAAGTCTTTTTCATTTGACTTTAAACTGGCCATAGAAGATTGTTTGACAGTGAAAGAAAGAGAGGCATTTCCTAGTTTAGGATGGTCAGTATGTCAGAGAACTTAATGTTTGCACAAAGACTGCAGAAATCTTTATTTCTACCAAGTGCGTGAACAGTTTTATTCAACGTCAGCAGACATTGCACAAATGGTAAATGGTCTGTACTTATATATCTCCTTTCTATCTTGGTGGTGCTCCAAGTGCTTTACAATGTTTTCTCATTCACCCATTCACACACATTCATACAGCAATGGTGACAGAGCTGCCATGCAAGGTGCTGCCTGCCATTGGAAGCAACTTTGGGTTCAATGTCTTGCCCAAGGACACTTCAAGTGTGGAGGACAACCTACTCTAACCACAGCCGCCTGTGCAGACAATATACATCCTTAGTCTGATCCCCTGTGTGTAACCACAAAACAGGTCCATGTTGCAACAGCAGCACTGCTGGGCAGGGTTACTGTAACATATATAGGCAGGGGAAGCAATACCCATTTCCCTGGCAGAGATGATCAGTGCAGTTGAAAAGCTCTGCAATAGCAAGACACCACTTGTCCAGTCCTCTTCGTGGGACTTCATCACTGGAAAAAAAGTTTAGGAAAGCAGCTCTGTGCTACTTTTTTTTTTAAAAAAAAGGTTTGCTGTAAACTAAATATACATTTGTGAATCAAGCAGTTTGTTTGTAATACTGAAACCTGTCTTTTGTAAAACACTTTTAGTTCAGTGTTGACACAGGGTGGGCTGCAGAGACCTCATATGATGAGCTGCAGTGGGGTTGTCTGGACTTCCTGCTGACACTATGACACAGATCCAGATTAGTGTCAGGAAAAGATTGGGTAGATCAGTAATAGTACTATATTTTTATGTTCATTTTTCTATCGCATGGAACTGGCATTTTCCACCTAACTGACAGTTTTATGTCAGCTATTTGTCCTCATCATTTTTACAATCTAATGAGAACCAGCCAAACATACCATTAGTTTGGCAGCTGTGAGGCTTTAATGTCACATTTGCAGATTCCAGCCCTCACCCTTTAGTCCTCTACAACAAATGGCCCTATAGGTAGTCTGTGGATGTTATGAGAAATCTCTACTGGTTGCCAACAGAAAAAGATAAAGAGAACAGATTACTTACATGGTCTTGAATTACACATTTACTGATGAAATCTTGCTTGTTTTAAAAATTCTTACTTTTCTCTTAGAGCTCTGAATCATGGCTGTCGTTGTGTGGAGCTGGACTGTTGGGATGGAGATAAAGGAGAACCAGTCATCTATCACGGACATACACTCACCTCCAAAGTGCTCTTTGTAGAAGTCATTGAGACTATCAATGAATATGCTTTTAAAGTGAGTAGAGTCAGGATTAGAGTCAGGACGCCGTTATTTCAAATACAAACTAAATACAAAAAGATACGAGATAAGTTTTGCCTTTATAACGTTCATGCAGAGATAGACACCGATCTGCCACAACAATAAAACCACTGACAGGAAACAAGACTAACATTGATCATATCATTGCAATGCAATGTTCTTCTGGGAAACCTTGGGACCTGACAATCATGTGGATGTTACTTTGACATCTATCACCCACATAAACATTGGTAAAGACCAAGGACACCCCCCATGGCAGAGCCTCCCACAGCAGAACAATGTACTCTGCCACACTGCAAAAACTGCTGAGGAGGGGCTCAAAGAACATGACGAGATTGCTCAGGACAAGCATGATGCACGGAGGCCCTACCCTTGAACCCGCACCCAAAAGATCTACTGTCAATGGTCGGTGCCATGACACCCCCAGAGATCCTGTGTGCATGGCCTATTGGGTCACAACTAGCGACATGAGGGTGACCTACACAGTATTAGAAAGGTGGTTTTAATGTTGTGGCTGATTGGTGTACAGTACAGATAAATGTTAAAACTTTGCACACATTGTTTTTCTACGTTAACTAGTTTAATAAAATTGTGTGGACAAAGATGATATACACTGCCTGGCCAAACAAAAAAGTCACCACCTGGATTTAACTAAGCAAATAGGTAAGAGCCTCCCATTGGATAATTACTGCATGGGTGATTATGTTTCAGCTGGCGACAAGTTATTTAACCCTAAATGATGCAGCGAGTAGCTTCTCATTTCTTAAACAACCATGTTGAAAGACACATCCTGTGGTCATGGAAAAGATATTGATCTGTTTCAGAAGGGTGAAATTATTGGCATGCATCAAGCAAAGAAAACATCTATGGAGATTGCTGAAACTACTAAAATTGGGTTAGGAACGCATTGTTGAAAACTGGAAGGATCGTGGGGGACCGTCGTCTTAGAAGAAGAGGAAAAAAAAATCTTGAATGATTGTGATCAGCAATCACTTAAAAGTTTGGTGAAATCAAATTGTAAAAAAAGAACAGTGGCTATGTTTAGCAGTGAAAGTAAGAGCATTCCCACGCGCATAATGCAAAGGGAACTCAAGGGATTGGGACTAAACAGCTGTGTAGCCTTAAGAAAACCACTTATCAGCGAGACTAATCGGAAAAAAGGACTTCAATTTGCTGGTGAGCATAAAGATTGGACTCTGGAGCAATGGAAGAAGGTCATGTGGTCTGATGAGTCCAGATTTACCCTATTCCAGCGTGAAGGTTGCATCAGGGTAAGAAGAGAGGCGGATGAAGTGATGCACCCATCATACCAAGTGCTCACCCTACAATCCTGTGGGGCCAGTGCTATGATATGGGGTCACTGCAGTTGGTCCGGTCCAGGTTCAGCAACGTTATGTGCCCAAAGAATGAGGTCAGCTGACTGCCTGAATGTACTGAAGGACCAGGTTATTCCATCAATGAATTTTTTCCTCCCTGATGGCACAAGTATATTCCAAGATGACAGTGGCAGGATTGATCGTGCTCAAATTGTGAAGAGTGATTCAGGGAGCATGAGACGTAGTTTTCACACGACTTGGCCACCACAGAGTTCAGACCTTAACCCCACTGAGAATCTTTGGGATGCGCTGAAGAAGACTGCGCAGTGATCCGACTCTCCCATCGTCAATACAAGTTCTTGCCGAAAAGTTCATGCAACGTTGGACGGAAAGAAATGTTGTGATATTGCAGAAGCTTATCGAAATGATGCCACAGCAAATGCGTGCCACAATCAAAGCTAAAGGCGGTCCAACAAAATATTACAGTGTGTGACTTTTTTTTTTTTTTTTGGCCAGGCAGTATATTTCAAAAGTTTACCCTCACTGAGCACTTTATTAAGAGCACCATGCTAACACTGGGTCAGGCCTCTCTTTGCTCTCAGAACAACCTCAGTTCTTGATGTCATAAATTCCACAAGATGTTGGAAAAATTCCTCTAAGACTCTGTTCCTAATGTTGACATGATAGCATATCATCATTTCTGCATACTTGGCAGGTGGTCAAATGGTCTGCACTTATAAATCCCTTTTCTACCTTGGTGGTACTCCAAGTGCTTTACAATGTTTCCTCATTCACCCATTCACACACATTCATACAGCAATGGTGACAGAGCTGCCATGCAAGGTGCTGCCTGCCATCAGGAGCAACTTCAGGTTCAATGTCTTCCCAAAGGACACTTCAACTGTGGAGGGTTGGGGGATCGAACTGCCTTTGGGATCAGAGGACAACTGCTCTGTGACCTGAGCCACAGCCGCCCCCAACATTCCAAAGGTTTACTGGATTCAGATGAGGTTACTGGGGAGGCCACTAAAATCCACTGAACTCAGTCAGGTTAATGCAAACAGTTTAAGAGGACTTTTTCTTTGTGACATGGTATCCTGCTGGTACGAGCCATTAGAAGATGGTAAAACCGTGACCATAAAAGGATGGACAGGGTGAGCAACAATACTCAGATAGTCTGTGGCATTCAGAGCAGCACTGACCAATATTAAAGTCCTAAACTGAACCAGATAATTATTGACTATTGACACAAGACAGTTTGGGTCCATGCATTCATGTTGTTGATGCCAAATTCCAACCTGTCTGTCGGAGGCTTCAGTAGAAATAGAGACTGATCACACCCGCAAAGTTTTTCTGTCTTCAACTGTCTAGTTTTGGTCAGCCTGAGTTGTTAATTTGTTTTTGTATTTTGTGCCATTATGTGTAAAAACTAGAGATGACGGTTGTGAAAACCCAGTAAGTCAGCAGGTTCTAGACATTTTGACCTGTATCTGCAGGATTTTATGCATTGTACTACTGTCACACCATGAGATGAGTGCAGGACTAAGCAGGTGTACAGGTGTTCCTTGTGAAGTGCTCAATGAGTATATGGCAGTCATAGTATATGAACAATGACATATATTGCTTTAAGCCATGGTGTACAATGACATTGCATACACTAACATGATGAATGATAATTTCCTTCCCCTTCTCTGACCTATAGAGAACCTTTTTCCTTCTGACATTGCACCCTTGTCCCTCTCCCAGGCGTCTCCCTACCCTCTGATCCTGTCTCTGGAGAACCACTGCTCTGTGGAGCAGCAGACAGTAATGGCTCGACACCTGAAATCCATCCTGGGGGACAAGTTGCTCACCAAGCCCCTCAGTGGTCTGGATTCCTGCTGCTTGCCTTCTCCAGAGGTAAGTAGTCTCATAACTGGAGGAAAGTTCAGCCCTCATAAGAACTACTATATTTGTTGACATTATTAGTGTCTTTAAGTAGAATGTAATTTGTACTTGTGTGAGCAACTTCATTCATTTTTTGTCACATAATGTCACTGCTGCAAGAAGAACATTAAAAAATACTAACCCGAGATGATTAAATGATTTGTCCAGAAAGATATTTGTAGTGCGCTTGCCACATATCAGTGGAATGTGGAGATGGTTAAAAATAGCTTTCGTGTGCAGCAGAGAGCAGACTGTCAGACATGGAAATCAGCAGCCATTTGCTTCTCTGCGTCCCACTTCCTCTGCAATTCCACATAATCATAACATCTGTGTGAGGGCTGGTACATGTACATGTGATCTGTGCCCCAGAAAACCCACTCCCGGAGGCACCTTTTCAGCATGTGACATCCCCTTGTCGCCACTATCCTGTCTGTGCTTGTAATTACATTCAGAGGATTTTATATAAGTTGCTTTTAAGATTTTGTTCTCATGCTCTCTTTTGTTAATCTTTGTTTGTTTCTAACCATCACTGTAGATTGTGTTGCACTGAAGTATTCAGATCCTTTACTGCTACGTTACTACTGTTGAAACCTAGTCGTATATAACAACTCTAATGGTGTTAGCGTGACAGGATTGTTTCACTATGATGATAATTTTCAAATTGTGGATATGTGTGCGCAGGATCTTAAGGGTAAAATCCTGGTGAAGGGAAAGAAGGAGAGGGTGGGAAAGGAGTGCTCATCCAGCTCTTCAGACCTCAGCTCCTCAGATGAGGAGGCCAGCCGGGCCAAAAGCAAAGGTCAGAAGAAGGAAGACAAGAAGGTTGGTACAACACCACCAGCTCACCTTTATTCAAGAAGCAGTGACTCCAACCAGTTTCTTGGAGGGAATTTGATGTGCTGGCTTAAATTTTTAATCGTGGAACCACTGCATATTCAAAATAGTAGTAGTATAGAATCAACGGTCTGTGTTACCATTTGTTTAGCAAATGAACTGTTAAATATTGTGATGGATTTCTGTGTGTGATCTTAGCCAGGTGTGTCTAAGCTGAGTCCAGAGCTGTCAGACCTGGTGGTGTACACTCGCAGTGTTCCCTTTAAAGGCTTTGAACAAGCTGCCAAAAGCTCAGCCACCGACATGTCATCTTTCTCTGAAAGTGAAGCACTCAGGCATGTTAAAGACTCAGGTATGATGTGTTTGTGTCTCAACTTTTGTTTTAAAGTAAAAGTATACAATTTGCATGCTGATTGCAAGTGAAAGAAAAATATGCATTCATCCAAGATGATACATAAGATCTGAAGCAAAGACAGACAACTACCTATTGTATTTATTCTACAACAGGCATAAGGACAAAGTAAAATTAGCCTTTCCACAGCTTACAGTTGGACAAGCTAGACTAACTAAATCTTCCCCGTCCTGCTGCTCCAGGGATGTGTTTTGTACGTCACAACAGTCACCAGCTCAGCAGGATCTACCCCTCAGGCCAGCGCCTCCAGTCCTCCAACTACAACCCTCAGGAGATGTGGAATGGAGGCTGTCAGATTGGTCAGAGCTTGTTTTCTAAGTTATTCTATTCAAAAGAGAAGCAGGCATAAATCAAATGAAAAGTAGAAAAAATGTCACTCAGATACAAATCCTTCTTAGTTCTTTTGTCTGTAACTGTGATTTCCCACACCCCACCCTCCAGAAAGGACAGATGGTTAATGCTGTGTTGTATTTCTCTAGTTGCTCTGAACTTCCAGACACCTGGGGAGCAGATGGACCTGAACCAAGGTAGATTCCTGCAGAATGGACAGTGTGGATATGTCCTGAAGCCTCCCTTCATGTACCAGCCTGCCACCACTTTCAACCCAGACAATGTTGGAGGAGGTCCTGCCCACAGACCAGTCCTGCTCACTGTTCGGGTAAGATGGTGTTAAACCTGCCACAAATGAGGTGTCAATGATAAAACAGGTGGAATAGCAATATCTTTCCATTGTCAGTTTCCATCTTAACGATAATTATCCATCTTGAATCCAAATATGACCAATGGAGGAAATCTGGATTGCAAATTGTGTTGTGATATAAATTTTGCTTTCAGAAAAATCACATGAATTACAAATGTCACAACATTTCCAATTCAATTGATTTGGTGGGGCCCTGGCTGCGCCATACCGGGCAACGTCTCGGTCCTTGATTTTATCCTCATAATAGAAGTTTTTGAACTGCCCTTTGTCTGTCCCATCACCTAGAACCTGTTTGCCATGGGTGACCCTACCAGGGGCATGAAGCCCCAGACAACATAGCTCCTAGGATCATTCGGGTGCACAAACTCCCCCACCACGATAAGGTGGCAGTTCGAGGGGGAGTGGCAAATGGCAATGAAGTAAAAATATACGTGCCCATTTGAAACGTGCCACATGACAGCACATGTCTAAAACATGTCACCACAGGGTCTTACATTTGAAGCACATATTACAATGTCAAAAATTGTTCCACGTGTTGTAATATGTGTTATCATGTCACAAATACTGCGCTTTTTTTTTTTTTCTCCACAGGTAATCCCATGGATTTCACATGGAAAAACACATGAAATTTCATGGATTCCATGTGTAATCAAATGGTTTTCACATGGGTTCCACACATATACACCATGAAAGTATTCTTTCAGTGAGCTTTCACTCACTTGCTGCATTGGTATTCCAGGTTATTTCAGCCCAGCAGCTGCCTAAACCAGAGTGGGACAAGCCCAGCTCCATTGTGGATCCTCAAGTCTGGGTGGAAATACATGGCGTTCCGATTGACAACGATAAGAAGAAAACTCATCATGTTGACAACAATGGTATTTAAATTTCCCACTGCAAAATATAAATGAATTATGAACATATTGAACCAGCTGTAATACCGGAAATGTACTTGTGTGACTGAGAGTACACAAAAGCTAGCAAGGGAGCAGAGAAGTCTCAATAGCTATCTAAAAACTAAAACTGAAAAATGTTTTTTCAGCTTCTGCAGTTCTAAATTGTTGTAGGAATTCAAACTACAGTAAACCTATCTCAACATTTGGATTCAAATTTTGTGATAAAAGTACTAAATTATTTTATATCTTTAATGGTGCTGCACAAGACAACCCTTTATAAATAAAAATGACTTTGTTTTAAATTCAGAATATGTGACCTTCAAACTTCTTATTTTAACCTTTAAAGTAAGCTTTGATCACACACCTGTCTGAGAGCTTTACTGCTGTAACTGAGTGGAGACTAAAAGCTTCGCTACAGGCTGTCAGACTAGCCTCTAAGTCAAGCCTGGATGTGGGGCATTTAAGGCACATTGGTAAATTGTAGTGTGTACTTTTATATTTTGCCTCTACAACACGCCCTAAATTTAGGTAAAGAAGAACCTTATTTTAAGTCTAAATTTGATGCACATTTGTACATTACCAGGAATGTAGCACAACATAGAAGTGAAAGCAGCATTCTGTTTTATTATCGAACCGCGATTAGAGGACAACTGCTTGACCACCTGAGCTACAGCAGTCTTATTATTGTTGCTACTGCATGCAGCAACACAACTGATGTGCTTGTCCATTTAAATCTCTGTATGAAGAGGGCAAAGCCTGACCTAAATGCCATCCAAGCAAAAAAATGATTTTGGATGCCTCTGTTCATGTTACACCATACAAGAAAGGTTTCAAACAGTTCACACTCAAAAGACATAGTTCAATTCAATCCAATTTTATTTATATTGCCCCAATTCATAAAAAGATTCAAGATTCCGGTATTTATCATTTCTCTATGCATCTGTGTACACACACAAAAAAATGAAATATAGTTCTCTCCAGCCTGCATCAGTACCACAAAAAAACACAACAATCAACAGTATGTTAAATACTGTAAGGAAAAAATATCACAAATAAAGATTGCTTGAAGACAAAAAAGAGAGCAGCCCCAACTATAAGCTTTATCAAAGAGGAACGTTTTAATCCTAATCTTAAAGTAGAGAGGGTGTCTTCCTCCAGAACTCAAACTGGGAGCTGATTCCACAACAGAGGACCTGATAACTGAAGGTTCTGCCTCCCATTCTACTTCTGGAAACTCTGGAACCACAAGTAGACCTGCAGTCTGAGAGTGAAGGGCTGTGTTAGGATGATCTGGTACAATAAGGTTTTTAAGATAAGATGGACCTGGTCATTAAGAGTTTTATGTGTTAGAAGCAGGATTTTAAAGTCTATCCTGGATTTTTAAGGGAGCCAATGAAGAGAAGCTAATGCTGGAGAAATATAATCTCTGTTACTGGTTCCTGTCAGAACTCTGGCTGCAACATTTTGGATCAGCTGGAGGTTTTTAGAGAGTTATTAGGACATCCTGATAATAAGGAATTCCAATAGTCCAGTCTGGAAGTTATACATGCATGGACTCGTTTCTCTGCATCACTCTGAGACAGAATGTTCCTGATTTTGATGATATTACGAAGATGAAAGAAGGCTGTCCTCCAGACATGCTTTATATGTGTACTGAATAACAAGTACTAGTCAAAAATAACTCCAAGGTTCTTTACAGTAGAACTGGAGTCTAAGGCAATGCCATCTAGAAAAACGATCTGATTAGAGAGTGTGTTTCTGAGGTGTTTAGGGCCAAATACAATAACCTAAGTTTTGTCTGAATCTTACAGGTCATTCAAGTCTCTCAGACATGCCTGGAGTCTGACCAACTGATTGGTTTCATTTGGCTTTATAGATAAATATAACTGGGTGTCATCTGCATAACAATGGAAATTTATGCAGTGCTTCCTAATAATATTGCCTAAGGGGAGCATGTACAAAGTAAATAATATTGGTCCCTGGCATAGAATTGCATGGAACTTCATCACTAACTCTGGTGTCGTAAAGTCTGCCTTGAGATGTGCACTGGTGAATTATACCAAAGAGTTACCCTTATGTAATTCATTACCTCTTTTTTCAGAGGGGTAACAGTTTCAGTTGCTATACACAGTGAGGTTGATTTATTGTGATGTCAGTTTTTTCTAATATTCTGCAGCCCCAGTGATGATAAAAGGCTACTCTCTTGAGTTTATAAAACACTGCTGTGGGGTACATTATTTAAAAACGATGGTAACCACACACTGCATGGACATGATACAACAAAGAGTGTATAAATATCTATTAAGTCTTTCATTGCGTGTTTTTCTTTCTTTTTCCTTTAAGGCTTTAACCCGCGGTGGGACTGCACTTTTAACTTTACCGTTCATGTCCCTGACTTGGCTCTGGTCCGCTTCATGGTGGAGGATCATGACTATACGTCAAGCAATGATTTCCTGGGCCAATACACCCTGCCTTTCACCAGTCTCCGCACAGGTGTGTGTAGGAGACAGTTTTATATGGGGAGTTTTACAAAAGACCTGTTAAATCTCACTGACACCATAAGAATAGCTGTTTGCTCTCCTGACCTACCTTTTCCCTCTGCAGGTTATCGTCATGTCCGACTGCTCAAACTGGATGGTTCAAGCCTTTCCCCTGCCTCCCTGTTTGTCCATGTGAAGGTCACCCCCTGTCAGAGCAGTCCTTCCAAATCATCAGCTAAATCACCAGCTACATCACCAACCAAGTCCACAACAAAGAAGCCCTAATTTCAACAGCATGCGACCTGCTGAGGTTTATGGGACATATCTGCATGTGACCAAATACAAGATTTGGGCCATACCTTTTAAGTCAGGTGGCTATAGCCTTTACCTCTAGTTGTAGCAATATCTTCAACCTGATTATATTTAATGGAACAAGATAATTTTGCTGGTGCAAACATTTAAACTGACCAGTATTTCAAATTTAAGTGATGCATGCCAGTGATTTTTGTCATTTCTGGGAGGTGTAAACAGAGACTAGAGCAACAAACTAAATGTGACTAAAACTAAAAGTTATGGCTGTGGTATGTGGATTTAACTGCACTCCAAGCCTTATTCTGTCCAAAACAGTCTGTCAGTTTCAGATTTGTGAATATTTGAAGCCTGAGTTGTCACTTTAATACTTGACTTAGTAGTGTTGATCCAGAATTCATAGCTAAGTCTGAAGCCTTTTGCAGGAGGGACTTTTTAATTGTATATTTCTATTTTAATGTTTATTTGACCTAAAAAATCTCAGAAGATTTCTAAACTTTATCAAGTGTTTACTTAGAATACCTGTATCCATGTAGCAGACATGACTCGTACGTTAAAAAGAACCCAATGGCCACACTGGTTGTGAAGTCATCCATTCCAATGTGACTGTTGTAAAAGTTAAGAGACAAAATCCACAGTTATTGTCTGTGCAAAACCACATTCTAAGGTTCACCTAAAGCTAAGATGTGGCTTTAGAAATCTCAAATCACGCTAGTTATCAGGGTGACAATCATTTAATCCTCCTTGATGATAACTTCGAGGTAAACAGCAGAATTATGTTTGTCCCTTTTTAGAGTAATCCTCCAGAACTGTGCACTTAAATCAGAGACTGAGCTGAAATAAACTATTGTTAGCGGCACTAAAGATGTCTGTGCAGGTCCTTACCCAAATGAGGGGGGGTGTCTGTGCCCATCATCATGTGTATCATGTGTAGGTTTATTGCTGGTGCTTCGTCCTGTCAAAGTCAAGAGAGTTTCATTAAGAGTTTTATATGTTAGAAGCAGGATTTTAAATTTTACCTGGATTTTACAGGGACCCAATGAAGAGAAGATAGTATGGGAGAAATATGATCTCTGTTACTGGTTCCTGTCAGAACTCTGGCTGCAGCATTTTGGATCAGCTGAAGGTTTTTAGAGAGTTATTGGGACGTCCTGAAAATAAGGAATTACAATAGTCCAGTCTAGACGTTATACATGCATGAAATCTGATGCACAGCTCAGATACAAAATCTGAAAAGCCATGATAAAAAATAAAGCCATATGAAAAATACAAAACTTAGAATTTCTTAAAAGAAAAGGGAAGCCTAGATCTCTAAAATGAGAGAGCTTCTTTCTGCCTGTCTGACACGTGCTGTCCCCTACAGCCAGTTTAATCCCATCCCAGTACTTTCATATTGCAGTCTAGTGTGTGATTACATTCAGTATCTGTTCTATCTTTTTTTTATCAGTGAATAACTGAAACCAAACTATATGATGAAGTAGAGTCCTCAGCTTTTATATTATGAATAGAATATGCTTAATTATGCAATAGTAAGATGATGTGCACTAGATAGATCTGCTGCCTTGTTAGATGAGATATACTGTATTATGCTTCTTAGCTGCAATTAGTTGTTTTTATATATAATACTTTGTCATTTACTTTGTGTTCAATTGTGTTCTGTGGCAGATTGACTGATGATTCTGGCAACTGTGACTTAAAGATTTTATTTTTGTCAGTGGTTTAACAGATCAGAAGATTTGTTTCTATGTTAGTCTAAATCATTTACTGGAGTCTGTTGTGCTAAACAAAGGTTTCATACAGTGTTTTTGTAAGTGTTCTGAAGAAGCTAGTTTTGGAACATTCATATTTTGTTGAGGGCTGCACGGTGGCTTGGTGGTTAGCACCGCCGCCTCACAGCTAGAAGATCCTCGGTTCGTCCCATCAGGACACCTGGGATCTTTCTGTGTGGAGTCTCCATGTTCTCCCTGTGTAGCGTGGGTTTTCTCTGGATTCTCCGGCTTCCTTCCACAGTCCAAAAACATTTTGAGGTTAATTGGTGATTCTAAATTGTCTGTAGGTGTGAATGTGAGTGTGCTTGGTTGTCTCTAATTGTAGCCCTGTGATAGACTGGTTACTTGTCCAGGTAAACCTGCCTTCACCCTAAATCAGCTGGGATAGACTCCAGTCCCTTGATATCCTAGTGAGGATTAAGGTGTATAGATACTGGATGGATGGATGTTTAGTTGATTTACACATAACAAAAAGTACTAGAAATATTTCTATGTGAATATATTAGGATAATCTCATGGAGGTCAATGCTGGGTACTGAAAGTACTGTACGTGTAACAAAAACATATTTGTATGTGATAAAAAAAAAGACCATAGGTTGTTCTTTGAACAGTCGCAACAGTACCAAAGTTTTCCTTTAAAGCATTGCCATTGTTGTTGTTTATTTATTGCATCTAAACAACTTGACTGTTTGCTTTTGTGAACACGAGCTATACAGTCACCAACCTCATGGTATTTATTATAAAGCATATATGCAACATATATGCAATTCAATAAATATTCTAGAAATAGCTAAACAAAATGAAGAACCTCATAATGTCATGTGTTATTTGAGTAAGTGAAGTGCAGCTCTGGACCAAACTGTCAACTGATGCATCTGCCTGACACGTTTTTACACTGAAAAAATAAATATATCAGAGTATGAAATTCAGCATTATGGCTCCTTTTATCATTACCGTCACACTATGTTTCCATATATATGTTTACCTGTGTATTGTTTATTACCATCAACTGTTAATCTAAGTCATTGCTTATATTTGTTCTCAATTACTGATGTGAAGAAAATGAAGGACAAGAAAGGAGGCAGAGGAGAAAAAGTGGAGATGACAAAAAGGAGAAGCAGGAGGAAGAACATATGGAGGAGTGTGATGAAAGGCAGTAGACAAGAAGTACACAAATAATGAGGAGATAGTGTGACGGCCCAATGTCAGCTGCTGCCATGAAGGCCTAGAATTCCAGTTACCTTTGGGTCCCTGAAGGCATCAGGACGGCCCATAAAGGTCAGCCAAACTAGAAAAAAGGTGAAAAGAAGAGGACGGAGCTCGAGGAAGAGAAGAAAAACAAGAAGGAGGAGCAGAGGAAGTGTTTTGTGGAACACGTTGAATAAAGTGTCTAAAAATGTCTCTTTATGACCCATCCAGCACCTTACTGTCCACTCTGCTGTACTCCCTCTTTAATTAGATTCAATCTCAATCATAAAGCATATTCTCTAGAATCCTGTCAAGCAGTGAATTTTGTACACAGAAATGAGACGAACTCCCTGAACAGAGGACTCCATGCAGGATGGGACAGAGGTCAGTCGGGGAAGCCTCCACAATGCCAGTCCCAGAACACAATTTAAACTTTGACTTGTAAAAATGTTTTCATATATATTAAAATATATGAGAAATACTTTCTGATAAATCCTAACTATATTCTGTAAAACCTGAACAACATTACTTTTTCTACACAGCAACGTGGAATTAGTTTGAGAGAGAGAACCTGAGGTCCTTCAGTGATTCGAAGAGAACAGCTTATTTTCATCATCCCTGGTTTACAGTCAGGTCCATAAATATTTGGACATTGACACAATTTTCAGCATCTCAGCTCTGTACACCACCACAGTGGGTTTGAAATGAAACAATCAGATGTGCTTCAAGTGCAGACTTTTAGCTTTAATTTGAAGGTATTTACATCCAAATCAGGTGAACGTAGGAACTACAACACATGCCGTCCACCTTTTTAAGGGACCAAAAGTAATTGCACAAACCAACATAATCATAAATCAAATTGTCACTTTTAATATTTGGTTTTAAATCCTTTGCAGTCACTGACAGCCTGAAGTCTGGAACCCATAGACATCAGCAGATGCTGGGTTTGGTCCCTGGTGATGCTCTACCAGGCCTGTACTGCTGCTGTCTTCAGTTCCTGCTGGTTCCTCGGGCATTTTCCCTTCAGCTTTGGCTTTAGCAAATGAAATGCATTCTTAGTTGAATTCAGGTCAGGTGATTGACTTGGCCGTTGCAGAACATTCCACCTCTTTGCCTTAAAAAACTCTTTGGTTACTTTTGCAGAATGCTTCGGGTCATTGTCCATCTGCACCGTGAAGCACCGTCCAATGAGTTCTGAAGCATTTGGCTACATATGAGCAGATAATGTTGCCTGAAACACTTCAGAGTTCATCCTGCTGCTTTTGTCAGGAGTCACGTCATTAGTAAATAAGAGAACCGGTTCCACTGGCAGTCATACATGCCCACACCATTATACTATTATACTGCCACCACCATGCTTCACTGATGAGGTGCTATGCTTTAGATCTGGAGCAGTTCCTTCTCTTCTCACTCATGGAAAACTCTCCTGTTGAAACAAACAAATTGACAGTACAGATCATCAGGCATTTGTCACACACAGAAGATTGGGTGCATCATCTTAACATCCTGGAAACTGAACAGTGATGTGTGGCGGATCTCCTATAAAAGGCCTACAACCCCTTTCATGTTCTCTTTCTACACTTGGACCTGCAAAATCTGAGTGCTGCAAAAAACTCACTCGGTGAGTGTCCATCACATCTGTCAGAAATGTACAAGTAAATGTAATAGTAGGAACAAGATCAGAAAAAAGGCAATTCAGCAGCAAAACTCATCCAACTATTACATCAACTTACTGTCTTCAAATGCATTTACGCAAGGACCTAATCTTCAGTCCAGCACTAGGGAGGAGATCCCAGGAGGTTCATTTCAGCTGTTAAAAAGTACACCTCCTTTACTCCGGTACAAACACCAAAATTGAATTTCTTAATTAAAGTTCTTTTAAAAAAAACCCAATGAAACTCCAATCAACAATAACAACAACAACACAGCAGTCACTTTAGAAAGGTAAGTCCATGTTTATTACAGCGTCAGATACATAAAATCTCAGGTCTGGTCTTCTCTTTGGTATTAAAGTGCATA